CAAGTGTTTGGACGTATCCGTGTTGAATTGCACGTCGAAAAGACTCCCGCATAGTCGTTCCTTGGTCATGAAGTATTCCCGTGCTCAAGACCTGATGATGATTAGGTCTGGCTCTAACAAGACAGACCAATCTTATACCTGGGCCCACTTGGCCACATGGTTTTCAGCCCTAACAGTTAACATGGCGTGCGGACGTGGGTTAAGGGCCCATAGTCGTCATATCCCATCAAAAAATATCATGCGCATCGATACACACGATAATTAACAACCGCCCCCTTGATTCCCGTGTGTAATTAACGCACAACGCTTGGGGAAGTGGGCGATTTATTGCCACACGACGGGATCATCCTGCTATCATTCCGTGTTTTACCCTGCATATAAAAGTTGGGAGGCAATGAGGAGGTGGGATTTATGCTCTCATTCCCCTTCGTCTTCATCTTCTTCCTTGAGCTTTCAACATCCAAGCCTCCCCACGCGCTCGATTCCAAAAAGATTGTGTTTTCCACCCATAGCCTCATCAGCCTCCATGGTCGGTGAGAGGAAGGAGAGTAAGGGGGTGAAAGCGGTGAACTCCGGAAACAAGCCAACGGTGGACCTCAGTTGTTTCCCACATGAGGGGGAAGTGGAGGCTTTCCACCGTGGACTTGGAGCAGGTGGACTGGTTATCCATGACCGAGTATTTGCCTCCATCGAGGAGCACCACTGCCCGTTCTGTGCTCGTCATCAAAGACAGTGCCTCTTGGTCAAGGTGGGATTCATAGATAGGTGTTTGGCTTGGGTGGCAAAGCTCCTGGCCTCGGCCTGCAAAAGGGTGCTTCTAAACGGTGTACACGGCGAACTGTCTCAACCAACGAGGTTTGCGGCTGGGGGGGCCCTCTCCCCTTGCTTTTCGTCGGTGCCATGGATGGGCTTCACTACCTCTTCCGAAAGGCCTCGGTGGGTTTCTATCAGAGCTTTCTCCTTTGGGATCATGCAACCACACCTCCATTTATGTCGATGACGTGGTCAGCTTTGTCAAGTTGGATATACTCCGCCGCAAGGCACGCGCGGTGATCATTGAGGATTTTGGGGTAGCATATGGACTTTGCACCTACTTTGCAAAGTGCTCAGCCCGCCATTAGGTGCTCCCATGATTAGATCGGGATGGTGCAGTAGCAACTGCTATGCCCTATTCTGCAGTCCCCTAGCCGGTACCTTGGGTTGCCCCTAGGTCTTTGTAAGCCTTCGGCAGCACGGTTGCAGCCACTAGTGGGCAAGATGGCCGGTAGATTGCCAGTTTGGATAGCTTCCAACGGCGGAGCTATGTTAAGACCTGAGGGGGCCGTGGCCCCCCCAGCCCAAACGATTTTATTTCATTACTAGGTAGCAGTGGCCCTGCTGGCTGCAACTCGGCTTAATCCATCTTCACACATAGTGCAGCAACGAACTAACCCATCTTCAGGCACCTGCTTCTCAGCTCATGAGTGTAAATTATATCTAGTGTGCAGGCACTCGATAGATAGATTGCATACAAATCCTAAATGTAGGGCATGTTCGTGCATGGATAGAGCAGCGGCAGCACATGACTAGCTGAGGTAGTTAGGCAGCGGATGACTCGTTCAATATAACAATGTGGTGTGGTTCATCTCAACCAGCTGCCCCCGCCGTGACGCACAACCTAAATCTGATGTACAATGAGTCAAACTAGGGTTTTTTCTTGTGTGGCTTGATCTAACTAATTGGGAAGTTTTTGGTGATGGCACTACAATTTTTTCTCTAAGTGGCAGTTGGTCAACGGTTGATTGTATTGGACTATACACATTATAAATCAGTTTTACTAAGTCTGCGTCGACTAAGACTTCGTTATGTCTCAGTCGATACTATATCCCTTAGGTCTTGCATAGAGAACTGTACATTCTTTTCTTCAGTTTTTTTATATACTATAGCATTCGACCGAGGCTTGGTTAAGTCTCAGTCAACTAAGACCCAGCTACACTTATTACAAATTTGCTCTCAGCAGCAGTTGCTCATCTTGGATTTTTTTGTCTTTCGGCCCCCCCAAGCATTTTTGTCTAGCTCCGCCACTGATAGCTTCCCTTCTATATCGTGGATGACATTTGATCCTGCTAAAAAAACACCCTCACAATGGTGTCGGTGCATGCCATGTTCGTACTAGGTATCCTAGCATGGTCTATCAAGGACATGATCAAGATTTTCTGTGGCTTTCTTTGGAAAGACCGCAAAGACGTTCATGTTGGCCATTGTTTGGTGGATTGGGACAAGGTTTGCATGCCTAAGGATCTTGGCAACCTTGGGATCCCAAACCTTAGACTGATCAACATAGCCTTGCGTGCTAGAAGGCCTTGGTTGGAGCACACGGTAGCTGAGAAACCTTGGCAGGAGTTCAACATCTAGGTGTCTGCAGAATCATTAGTGATCTTTAATGCCGCCACTAGATCTGTCATTGGGGACGGTAGGTCCGCTCTCTTCTGGACTGATTGGTAGCTCCCAAAAGGCCGCATCTGCGGCATCACACCATGCCTATTCGCCTCTGTTCAGACTAGGGCGGTTCGATCCCGCACGGTGAGAGAAGGGGTGCGAGGAGGCTGGTGGAGGGATGTTAGCCCGAATCTCAATGTGGACGCACTCCGGGAGTTTCTCCACAAGCTGGAACAGACCATGCCTATTCGCCTCACACCATGCCTATTCGCCTCTGTTCAGACTAGGGCGGTTCGATCCCGCACGGTGAGAGAAGGGGTGCGAGGAGGCTGGTGGAGGGATGTTAGCCCGAATCTTAATGTGGACGCACTCCGGGAGTTTCTCCACAAGCTGGAACAGACCAACATCATCATGCTTGAGGAGGGATCAGTCGATGCGCTGGTATGGGCGTTGGAGGGTGACCACTGCTTCTCAGCTCGGGCAGCCTACATGGCTCTCTTTGGGCTGTAATGCAATGCATATGCATTATCCACAATTCATATAATGTAATCTGATCATAATTTCATATAATGTAATCTGATATAATGTGCAAAACATTGCAATGGCACAAAAAAAAATCCTGCCATGACAGCTTTTCTTCTTGCCCTGCAAAATTACTAGTTACGGGTTCTTGTTTGAGTTTGTTATAAAAGGCTGTGGGGCATTGCTCCACAGTAGATAGTTTCCAAAAAAATTTACTAGTTACGGTCGTCAAAATGGGCTCGCCACTGATGCACGCATAGAGTATGGCGGGTGACTGGATTGACCCGCCAATCATACCTGACCTGCCCTACCAATGACAGATGGCTCCGTTGCCCGGCCACTAACAACTGAATTACACCGGCGTCTGCCCGTCACTTACGTAGCCAGTTCTACAGTGACCTAGCCCAAGCCTCGGAACCCAGTACATACTTTGTAGGCCGGGCGAAGGCGATCCCACGATCTCATGTCACGACACGAGCACTGAGCACAGCTGCACTGGCACGATCGATGACGACCCGCCCTAGCTTACGTGCCGAGCGCGACCGCAACCGCAACCGCGCAGCGAGGCTCCGGTGTCGGGGTCGGCCGATCAAGGTGGCGGGCGGGCAAAAGCAGAAGAGAGCCGTCGCTCTCCCCGCGCGCCCAGCCGGTTCCGGTCGTTCCGTACGTGGCCACAGCTCCGGGACAAGAGATCGGGGCTACGAGTAGCTCCAGCGACTTGCCAGGGACTGTGCTGTCCGTGTAACCGGCACTGCACACACGGCGACACCGCGCGCCCTGGCCTGGGCTAGGCCAACTTTCATCGTACTACCACGAGTGGACGGTCCGATTTGAGGCCCCAACAGTATCACTGTGGTGCTACGCTCGCGTGTCGAAACCAAAAGGGACGCGGCACTGAGAGGAGAGGAATCCTCAGGCCAAAAAAATAAAAAAATGAAATTCCGAGAAGAATCTCCGGCTCACGGCATCCCAACTCACTGATAGATCATCAAGTTAAAAAAAACTCTCTGATAGATCTGCTGCCCGGGATGCTACACTGGTCGACTAAACTAAGCTAAGCAGTCCATATGATACAAAAAAGCTGGACATTAGTGGCCGCGTGCGCAATGAGGACGCCATTGCACGCAGCTCATCGTCGTTGTTAATTAGCCAATCTGTCGTCAACCCACGCACCCACCCAGCAGCACAGAGCCATACATGCAGAGGCGTCCGCACGCACCCACCACAACAGTCTAGAAGCCCGGAGACGATCGAGCTTTCGAGCTCAAAAGGAGGCCTTGCACCGGCAGAAAAGCGAGGGGGTTGGTTCGCTGCACCACAGCATCTGCACAAATACTGTTTCTCCAAGGAAGGACCTGACGGATGTTGTCACCGCGCACTGAACCTCCATTGGCATTGCTCCCGGGCCTGCTTTACCATCCAGGGATCGTTTTAAACGAAAAAGAAGCAGGGGAGTGGGGGCTGGGGGGACGTATGTTGACCTCTGGGGCCTGGGCGGCAGCTCGCTGGCTATAGCTAGCTCATGTTCCATTACCGCGTCGCGACGTAAAACTAAAAGAACGGCGAGGAGTGAACAGAGACAGAAAGACAGACAGACAGCAGAGCATAAACTATAGCGCTTGGCATCTCGCCCAGGTCCGTCGTCGAAGTATCTAACGCCACAGGTGATTGATGGTGGTCTAGATCATGGCTGCCTCTGGTTGGAATTCCTACGTGCACGGAACTCGTGTCGCACATCATAAAGCAAACCAGCATACAAAATCTAGCAAGAGATGCGGTGACGACATGACAGTATGACACGAGACCAACCGGAGATCTTCTCACCAAGGCCATGCTTTGTTGGTTGGTAGTACTTGGTAGCCAAAATTTTGGCACGGCAACAACGTTTCGCAGGTCCCGGAGGCTGCCGGAAACGGCAAGTTTTGTGAGGTTTGGCAAGGTAAATTGGCAAGAGCGAACCCAGCGAGCTTCTACTCCTACGACTATCTAGCTAAAGCATAAAAAAACCGCAAAAAAAAAGCATAAAAACCAACCACTCCTCTGTATGAGACGCTGTGGCGCTACATGACGGAGCAGGCGTTCGGGTTCTCGTCGCTGAACAGGCTGGTGATCTGCTCGGCGCCGACTGCGTCCGCGTTCTGCCGGTAGGGAGATGGGGCCCACCTGTCATTGGCCTGGGCCGCTCCGATGGCGCCGTAGCGGGCCGTGACGGCAGCGCTGTGGTCGTCGTAGCCAGGATGATGATGATTCCGGGGCCACAGCTCAGCCTTCTTGCCTGTGGACTGGGCCCGCCGCAGGACCTTGTGGGGGTCCACGACGCCAGTGACGGTCACCCTCTGCTGCTTCCTGTTCACCTCTACGCGCTCCACCCCTGCAACTTCAAAATAAAACCACTTGTCAAATAAATAACCCGCTCCTAAATAGCAGTGCTCACAAAAAATAATGGACCCGAAGCCAAATCATAATGAAAAGGAAAACGGGACTAAGTGAATCAACTGGACATGAGTGCGAAAAGGGGGGGTTCATCAACTTTTCTGAGCAGATGCTTCAGTGTTCTAGCGACAGGTGTACGGGCCGGGAAAAGCTTAAGCGGACATGACACGACGGGCATTATTGATGAGGAGCTATATACTGTTGTCTACACTCTAGACGGCGAGGAACATGGAAAGGCACGATGGCAACGAGCAGAGAAAACAAGACAATGTGACCCCAATGAGTGACCGACCGACCGGGCGAGCGACCAACGGAACTAACCTCTGATGCCGGCGAGTGCCTTCTTGACCTGGCGCTCGCAGCGCTCGCAGTCCATCCGGACCCTGAGCTCCACTGTCTGCGGCTGCGGCTGCGTGCTCTCCTTGGCGCACCTCTGGCCTCCACCCACCGCTCCCAGCAGGCTCGCCACCAGCTGCTTTATGCCGCCTCCCATGGAGAATGCAGCGAGAGGCTCACTGGAAGTGGATGGATGAGTGACGAGTGAGCGAGCGAAAGAAGCAAGAAGCCCGCCTAAGTGGAGGGCCTAGGTAGCTAGTGTTGGATTGTGCATGCATAATGGCACGGCATTGTCTGGCTGGCTTTGTAAGAGGCCGGCCGGGGAACTGTTGAAAGGCGACCTGAAGAAGGCAATGGCGCCTCGGCGAGGGGACAGGAGAGACGGGGGGGCTGGTGTGTGTGTGTGTGTGGAGGCTGACAAGAGAGCACGAAGAGGTCGGGGAAAAGTGACGGAGCCGTGGCCCGTGATGGTGGTGGTGGTGCGAGGCCTCTCCTCTCATGTGACTGACGACGACGACGGTCGTGCATGCAGATGCAGTGGCTCGGTGCGGGCGCTTGTGTGTTGCAGTAGGCCGAGCCTTCCGGCTTTGGGAGAGCGGTGCAGTGCAGAGTGCCCGTGCAGGTGCAGTGCAGACCGCAGGGCGCAAGAAATCGCCTGCAAAGCTGCAGCTTGGGAAAAAGGGACTGCCATCGATGGATGACTGCACGGTCACGCTCTTCCTCCTCTTCTTATCCTCGCTTCCGGCTTCCTGGTTTTTGCACCGTTTCCTCGTAGCACAGGAAACTATGGGCACATGTCGTGACGTTTCTCAGCAAACCGGTCTGTCAGTGTTCTTTTAAGATCGACGGGCGATAGGCGAGTGACCCATTCGCTGGTGGAGTGGAGTTGTATCCCTACGCTTAAACTCGGGAAGCACTTCCGAAACAGCTGACACAAGAGACTTATGCGATATACAGGGGCTATCATCAGTTAGGTTTATTCAGTTGCTGATTCATGAGATGAAGAACACGGTGGAGATGGTCAGTAACAGCAGCGAGCAGCAGTTGGCAAGTAGCCTATGTAAGTTCGATGGCCCGCCCGAGGAGGTCGGCGCCTTGCCTGCGACGGCAGGAGGCGTCACGGTGGGAGAGGTCTGCTGCTCGCTCGACGGCAGCGGATCCCCCGGGCTGTGGTGCTGCGACGGGCCCAAGGGCACCGTCGTGCTGTTGTCAAGATCATGGCCTGCGTACAAGGGAATGAGCGTTAATGTTTCATGGACAAAGGAAAATGTCTTTCTTTTTAGAGTAGTTTCTGACTTACATTCAGACCGGTACCAGCCCAGCTTCATGTTCTCTTTGTCAAAAACAATGTGGTATCCAGTCAGGAAGTTCTCTGCATCCACGGATACCACGTAAGCTAGTTTTCAAAATAAAATTAGACTTTGAGAGAACACATATCCCAAGATTTAAGCACTCACGTCCAATAATTGCAATAGGCTCTGGTGACTTCTGAACAGCTAAGCAAAAGCCAGCAATCGATCCCTGAACATTAGCAAATGAGATGAGATGATATCACAGAGCCGCAAAACAGCTACAGTTCTATATTTCATAAAGACAAATATGTTTCTTTCTCTCGAAATGACACATCTGCCTTTTGTATACAAACATATACTCCCTCCGTTCCTAAATATAAGTCTTTTTAGAGATTTCAATAAGAGACTACATACGGGGCAAAATGAGTGAATCTACACTCTAAAATATGTCTATATACATCCATATGTAGTCCCTTGTTGAAATCTCTAAAAAGACTTATATTTAGGAACAGAGGGAGTATGTTACAACAAATCATGCAGTAAGTTTATGCGCTGTGAGCATGTTACAAAAGGGCTCAGCTGTCAAAAGATAAATGGCATCACTAATGGTACTCTCATAGCTTACCTTGACTTTGTTTTTATTAAAATCTAATAACATTGTGCAATGAGCATAGAAACAATTGATGACAGGTTTAGTTCGCACCACACATGCAAACTCCACATTACACTATACCAACTTTTAATAGATGAGCCTAGCAAGTGCCAAACTATAGAAATCTTGCTAGTACAGTATCTTGTTTTCACAGTTGAAGCCATTTTACCCACCAACTATATCTGTTTAATCAAATAAACTGCAGGAGAACACACTGGAAGGAGCATTTGAATGCAGTATACTATATCGGTTATGTAAGGGAGATAACTGGAGCTGGCTCTTTCAGAAAGAAGAGAAAAATACAAATGGAGTCGATTTGCATATAAGAACTTGTTCTCGGGAACATTTTTTACAAGGAGTCCCTCCTTTGGACGCTTAGACAGCAAGGCGCCCTGTCAGAGCCTTGACATTATGCCCGCTTTAGGCACTTAGGCGTAAGGCTGTTGGTGCTCGCCTTAGGTCGCCACCTTAGGTCGCCTTACTGCCTTATAAACAATGCTCGGCAATGCACACAACATAACTTACAATTTTTCTCCTGAGACAAGAAAGACATACCTCTCCGTCCTTACGTACAATCGTAGGATTAACGACCTGAAAGCTCTTGTTTGCAGAGAAATTAAGAGTTACAGTTGGCACGTCAGGCATCTCCAGAGGACTGAAATCACAAACCAGTGCAAATGAAAATGTCAAAAATCGAACTAGCTCCTGGCGAGTGGTGACCTGTAGTGCAGTCAGAATTTGGAAGTTACCTAGCACTGTAGCAGTATTCAAAAGAATCATCTTCCTGGGTTATTCTTGAGGCATTAACTTGTTTGTCAAACTGCAAATGTATAATGGATCAGTAACAAAATTTATCTACGAGTGAGAGATCTCTAAAGGGGTATGTATCCACCTCGACAGTGACAGCCTTGTAAACATTCAGAGGAAGAGCTGTGAATGATGTTCCACTATCAACTATGGCCACGAAGTTAGTACCCTCAAAACATTTGTGGCCAACACAAGATTTGTCAACATTAACAGCATAAGTTTGACTGGGAGGAAAAAAAACACGGATGTCAGTGGAGCTGGAAATAACTTAAAAATCACTAGAGCAACTAAAGACCATTCCAAGGAACTAACAATTTGCCATATAAAGGAACAAATGGCGTCGACTGTTGGGTAGACACTCCTTGATCACCGAAGAAAATTCTCCCAGAATATTCCTTGAAACACATGGAAAAGGAATTTCGAACTAATCCAGCTCTTGCAAGGAAGCTAGGAACTGAGATATCTGCCATCCCAAGGCCAAGAAGTCCATCTGGCGCAATACCATCCAAATAGCTACCACTTTGCTTCCTACCACACCTATAAAAAAAGGATACACTAACTTAGTAAAACTGGAAAACTACAGCAATCATGAGACTAGAATTCTTCAGTACACAAGCATCATCTGTCATTCCAACCATTTTGTTTCAAGAGTGCATAGAAGGATCAACATAACACAAAAAATATACAACACAAAGAATGGTCACAGCTTAAAATGCCATTTGTAGGCAACTGGATGAATATGAATATATGATGCAGGTCCAGGTGGACAACAACAACAAAACCTTTAGTCCCAAACAAGTTGGGGTAGGCTAGAGGACACAGTATGCAAATACCCACAAAAAAAGGGCAACCTGGTGCATGTAGCTCCCGCTTGCGCAGGGTCCAGGGAAGGGTCCGACCACTTTGGGTCTATAGTACGCAGCCTTTCCCTACATTTCTGTAAGAGGCTGTTTCCAGGACTTGAACCCATGACCTCATGGTCACAAGGCAGCAGCTTTACCACTGCGCCAAGGCTCCCCTTCAGCAGAAAACAAACAGAAATGAAGAATGTCACACGCGGGAAAAACATATCAATTGTGACTGTTATTTGCCAAGTAATGGAATACAAGCATAAACTCATAGAGAGAGCAATGGCAGCTGGTACAGAACTTACCCTATAATGACTGAAGCCTTCACTGGTGCATGGCTCTCTCTGGAGTTCAAGTGTAGAACATCCTCAATTAGTAAACCTGAGCTGGTTGTGTTTTCTTGAAGATAGTCAGTGCTGTATGGGCAAGGCTGCTTTGGGCTTGAGCAGCCTGAACCCGATGAGCAAAGCTCATGGCTGCAGGGCAAATGCCGACTCGTTGTTGATTCAGCTGGTTTGTAAATCCCGAGATCTCTATCCTGCATAATAGATGCTCCATATATGACGGAGCACCTGCCAATCAATCATTGCAAATAAGCACTAAAACTGCTTCCCAATTTGTACAAGTCCTCTTGTTTGTGTATTTCTATCAAGTAATATAAGCAACTTTAGGATCGATAAAATTCAACAGAAAATTTTCACCAGAGATCACTAAATATGTCTCCAAGTGCCAGTTGGGCTTAAATTGGAAACTGTGCAGCTCAAGTTATTGTGACTTTTTCAACTAAATATGTCTCCAAGTACCAGTTGGGCTTAAATTGGAAACTGTGCAGCTCAAGTTATTGTGACTTTTTCAACTAAATGTGGTGGTGGTATCAAGTTGCAAAACTAACATGGATCATCTATGTGAATCTTCTCCCCTAAATTGAATGGAACGCTAATTAAGTACCAGAAAAACAGTCGAAACGTACATGCCGTGTATTAGTTTCTTCAATCTACAAGGATAGTATTATCACTTTCTTTAAAATTTTACTTTGGAAGAAAAGAGTTAACTATGCGCAAGCATCATTTTTTTTCTTTTTGCAATAGTATGTGCAAAGCCTCTAACGCATGCATCTGGTCAAATTGACACGAGCATTTCCAAATCCAGCATCTGCAGACCCCAACACAATGTTATTGTTCAAAAAAGGGTGCGTACCAAAGTTTCACGGTAGCCAGCCAACGGAGCACACTCAATACAATCACAGGGTACCCAGAACAGATCACTTCCAGTATCCAATGCGACCATAAAGGAAGTGTTCGGTGTCCCGACATCCACCCATGTGTAATACAACCTGCACAGACAGAAGTAACACCATTTGTAATCAGTAAAGCTAAGCTTTGGCCCATCATAGATTCACAATGCAACACACGCCACAAAGCAAAGCAACTTCTCTTTTTCTAATTTTGTGTTTCTCTATTACCAATATGATGTAAAACTAACTGGGTCTAGTAGTGCATTGGAAAATAAGCTTCTGCATCAACAGCATACTTCAGCAGTAAAAGGTACTGAGGAATGC